CCCATCGCCAGTGTAACTGAGTCCATATACCTTGCTGCTGGTTGTCCTCTTCTTGTCTTTCCTTCCACCTTTCCCAGCATTAGAGGTTTTTCCAGAGAGCTAAGTGTGTCTGAAGTAGAATAATTTGAGCCTGGTCATTTTCACCTCGAGTGAGAACTCTGGGTTGATTTGTTCGAGGATCCATTGGTTTGTTTTCTTGGCTATTCATGGTATTCTCAGGAGTCTTCTCCAACACCGAAGTTCAAAAATGTCAACATTCTTCCTATCTTGCTTCTTCAGAGTCTAACTTTTGCTTCCACAGAGTTTCACAGGGAATACCATAGCTTGCACAATTCTGATCTTTGTAGGTATAGTCACATCACAATATCTGAATATCTTTTCCAAGGCCTTCAGGGCTGCCCTACCAAGTGCTAGTCTGTGGCGCATTTCTTGACTGCTTGTTCTTTTACTGTTGATCTATACTTTTATGGATTCTGATTTGTATATGCACCATTTTAGGAAATACATTGTTTTGTCAATTTGTTGAGCTTCACTTTTGATATAGTTGAGCAGTTTTAATTTAATTCTATGTGATTGTTGAAATTTTCAAAAGTACGCAGAATATAGCTTCATTATTCCACTCCTTTATTTCCATTTATATTCACTTTGTCCTGCTAGTATGACTTTCACAGACTGTAGATAATCACAGGTTTGCTTTCCAGAAACAAAAATAGTTTGGAATGTTGTTTTTCAATGTTCACTGTCATATGTACATGAAACCAAGAAGCCATACCTCATCATAGATTTAGCTATATATAATTATGATCTTCAGTATTTTGCACATAACAAAAATATCCTGAACTACTCAATTGTTTAATCTGCCAATGTGCAATTATTCCATGTATCTACAGTATAGAGTCCAGGGAACAAAATTTATTGAGCAATGCTCCATCTGGATTTATTTCTGATTTCTATTTGTAAAGAGTTAATACCTGTGATCCTATGTAATAAAAAAACAAATACTTGAAGCCATACTGCTAAGGCTTTTGCCAGATTAGTTTTATCAGTTTTACAGTTAATTCTGGATGTGGAGCAATTTTGGAAAATGTATGGAGTAGGCTGCTTTTTGTACTTAAACCTTTTACCTTACTATGGCAATATTTCTGTGGGATGTTTGGTTAGAGACAATTTGTGAATATTAATTACTTGTTAATTTTATTATTAGCATCTAATTTTCATATTGAGCTTCATAATGGACCAGTTCCACTAGCAGCGAAGAGCTATCAGGAATTCCAAAGAATTTGCCTTCTCTTGTTATCAGTTCTTCTTCTCACCAGAAGGGTTACAAAACCATCCTAATGTGAGTTTAGAGGTTAATCCAGATGTCTAAGTAAGGTTTTTTACTATAATTTTCTAGGTTTTCTTTGTGAGTGCCTTGAGGCCTGAAAGGGAACATATGGTAGCTTTCAACTGCCTAGTGGGAGCTAATATGGCCCAAGGATGCATAGATGGGCCAAGATGACCCCTCTGGTCAAGGAGAACAAGTGAATATGGCCTTCGTGTATATCAAAATGACAATTTGGGTTAGCACTGAGTTTAAGAGCCAGCTTTGCTTCTCCAGAAAATCCTGCAAGTACAGGATTCTGTTGTATGCCACTATGGTGAACCATCATCTTACTGAGAGCTATGTGTGTGTGTAAATAAATCTTATACCACAGAAATATATGTGGAAACTGAACACATATGTCTCACCACTCCAAAGTGGAATTGGAACCACTGTGAATTTGTTACAAATATTATATGACTGTGTGTGATTAGTTTTGTCATATTTAACTAGTGTAATTTTTCTGATTGGACTTTATCAGAAGGAATATGAATGTTAGTTTGCTCTTGGACGACCACTCATTTTTATGATTCCATATCATTCTTCTTTTGAGTGAGTTCTATCAAGTCTGGCAGTTTTCAGATTAGTTGGGAGAAGCAATCTGTGATCATACAGCTGGGAGCTCATTATCTGTGGGTGTTTTCATCAATGATGCTAAGAATGTTGTTATGTCTGAAATGTGCTGATCTGTGTGCATTACCATAATGTGAGATAGAGAGGAATGTCATTTTAAAAACATTATTTAAGGCAATGCATTTAGCTATGTACATACTTCCTTTCCAGTACTTTATTGCCACTTGTGAAAATGCCCTAGACTACTGTCATGGCATCCAAGGCATGCCTTTTGCTTCTCTTGGGCCCACAGCAATTTTCTTGATATTTATTCAGCTTCCTGTTTAATAAATAAAAAACCCAATAGGTCTTTTGGCTAGCCGCCGATGACACTGGAATTTTTGGCTTCCTGTTTCTACATGTATAGTCTAATCTTCAACACACTGGTTTTATCTGCTCCATTTTTCTGGCCCCTGGACGTAATTTGTCTGTCTTTGCTGTAATCCCATTGAGGTCTACTGTGGCCTTCTGGCTTTTTGCCCAGCATGAATTTTATCTGTTTATTTCTTGACATTGGAACAGATTCTAATCCTGACTACTGACTGTAGCCTTACTTCAACCTACTTTTTGCAAACAACATATGGCATGCTAAACCTATGCCTGGATTGTACAATGTAAGATTGCAGTTAAGGGCTCACTTGAAGGAATGCTGGTCTGCAGAAATAAGAACATAAATCTCAGCAAATATAAATAGATATAGAACTAGTCTTCCCCAGTTTTCTGATGTGCAAGAGTTGAGTGCATTTAACTGAGATTATTGTGCACTGAATCAGCTTGAACCCTGCTCAATTACTGGCTTTAAGCAAGGGGCTATATCTCAGCCTTATCTAGCATCTTTAAAGCTGGAGACTATCAGGGTGCAGGAGGAATAAATACAGAGAGCTCCCGACACAAGGGGTAGTGTCTTCGGCTCAAGCAAGGGCAGAACTGGGATCCTTTCTCAACCACTGCAGCTTGTCTGCATAACCAAACATGCCATTCCAGAAGCCTTTTAAAACACCCTTAGATAGGAGGGGTTGCAGTAGAAAGGAGATATGGAAAGCCAGTACGTAATTGATGAGAAGCTTTAAAATATCACTACAAAAATGTTGCTGAAGTTATCTTTTAGCATGTTCAGATGCAGACTTGACTAATAGTCTCCAGTACTGTATCTGAAAACCACTGAAATGAAGGCATTTCTGTCCTGGCGCGTTCAACAATATTCCCCTTACCTGCAATTCAGTTACTTGCCAGACTGCTCTATTTTAGCAGGTTCAAGAAAGAGACAGATATACACTGATATCCTCTAGATTAGTAGGCTAGAGAGGCAGATATTTCTCCCAGGGCATATATGATCTACATGTTTATATTTTTGATTGCTATGCTTTTCCCCAAATTATTTTGAAAATGACAATTTGATGAGGGCAGCATGAATTTTATTGGAGGTCCCTTGCTATCACCCATAACTATGGCTAGGTTTGTTTATTGCACTAAGCCATTATGTAATTAAGACTTGTCTTAACATATTCTATGAGTCTAGGCATTGTGATTTGTACATCATGATTTGTGGTTTGACAAGGTATACAAACCCAGCCAGTTGTGATTTATTTAAAAGATTGTAGTTAAGGAAACTATGGCTTAGCATGATACGTGAACCCAACCTAAGCCACTTTTAAGAACAAAACATGAGCATTAAACCACTTTGAATTGTTCCACTTAGAATGGGGGGATTCAGGCTCCAGCCCACCCTTGGCCATAGAACTCATTGGGTGACTGTTTATCTTGGTATCATGTGTTGTGATCCCGCCCATTATGCTTTGTAATCCATGATTTAAAGCTTAGCATGTTGGTCTGAACCCAGGCATTTGCTTAATCAACAAATTATGGTTTTATCAACCATTGTGAACCTAGTCAGGCTCTCACAATTTGTGATATTACTAAGGAGCTGTTAAAGAAAGCCAGTTTGGTCTAGTGGTTAAGGAATCAAGCTAGAAACCAAGAGACAGCGAATTCTAGTCCATCTTAGGCATGAAAGCCGGATGGGTGACTTTGGGCCAGTCACTCTCTCTCAGCCCACGACATCAGGCTCAGGCAACAAGCTGGTCGGTAAATTCCTGTCACAACCAATGGATCAGCATTTAGCTGATTTGAAAAAAAAAGTGGACCCTGCACCTGCATGAAAACACTAGGAAGAAAAAAAACCTAAGGAGCTGTTCAACAACTGTTGTTGCACATGTTGGTCATAACAGATGTCTCTCAGCTTGATTTTTGTCAATACTAGGAATGTACGAAGAAAGGAAAAGGGCATTGCTTGCAGACAGTGTTTGTCTGTATTAATGTGTGATTCAAGAATGGGAAGTAGTCGATCATCATCACCAAGGAACTGAATGTAAAACAGGCCCCTTAGTTGAAATTCAGTTGAAGAGATTGCCTCAGGTTCCCCCGCTCCCGCCCCTTACCTCTCAGAAAGCAGATGACTCATCTCTGCTGAATTAATGAGATTACTTCCCTATTTGATACTGGATTCATGTTGGCTTACTTTGCAGGATTGAGACATAAAATAGCACAATTTCAAATTAGTTCCCACTGAACTTTTATTTATATTTAATCAATTTGTATGGCTGTCCAACTTGCTGATCTGGGGGGGGGTAACACAAGATTTAAAATCAGAGCAGCACCAACAAGTTTTAAAAAAAACACAAAATCCTTTCAAGCTTCTATGACTAGAAGTACTACAGTTAAGTACTTTTCAGAATGAAGTATTTCTCAGCATCTTTTAAATAAATGAGTGGAATATTAATAAGTTTGACAAGAACAAGAACAAATCAGGACCTGAAAATGCAAATAAGCAGTAACCTAATTCTTTGCAGAAGCTGTAAGATTGCAGGCTGCCAAGAGGGCTGTTTTGTCATATACCATACAGGGCACCCTGATTTTCTCTAAAATAGGAAAGTGGCCTTATCATAACGCTTCAACACACACAGGCTGAGTCAGTGCAGGACTGATGTTGTCCTAACCACATTATTAGTCTTAGGAAGGCTTCTGTAGCTGAGCTAATGACTCTTGTTCAGGTGCTGCCTCAGAGAAAATGCTGCAAATTCAGGAGCTTAGCATCTCCTTTGCGCAGAAGAAAGACAAGCAGATGCTTCCATTCACTGGCTCATCTGGGGAAGGTAACTTCAAGATGTCAAGGTTGAGAAATGCTCCTCTACAGCATGAGAGGAAGAACACACAAGGAGGTTAAGTATGCTCCTTTGCTATGGCCTAAGAGGGTGAAGAAGATGCTATGCATTCACTGCTTCTCTTATAGACCTCTCATAAATCAGAAGGTGCCTGGTATCACCTGTTTTGACTAACAAATTTTATTTAAAGGCATATGCTTTTTATTTTTAGGCATATGCTTTTGTGAGCTGCAGCTCACTTCATTGGATGCATATTTATAAACTCTTAGTCTAGTAATATCCACCTTTAGTTCTGGATGGATTTGCCCTACCCCAGATGGAACTTATGCACAATTTGGGGTCCTCTTGGACTCACGGTTCCCACTTGAAGAGCAGATGACAGCTCTGGCTAGCTTTTGCACAGCTACTGCATATGTTGTGTACCAATTGCATCTGTTTTTGGACTGGGAGTCTCTGCCCATGGTTACTCATGCCTTGGTCATCTCCCAACTGGACTACTACAATGTACTTTCTGTGGGGCTGTTCATGAAGAGCATTCGGAAGTTTCAGCTGATGCCAAATGCAACAGCTCAGGCAGTTACGCGTGCTCCTCATTCAGCACATGGGACACCTCTGCTCTGTGAGCAGCATTGGTTGCCAGTTTGTTTCTGGGTTCAATTCAAGGTCCTGGTAATTACCTATAAAGCAGTCTTGTGACTAGATTACTTGTGGCACCTTCTCTCCCTGCTTTTATCTACCTATCCTGTCAGATCCAGAAGAGAGGCATGCTCCAGGTCCTGTCCATTAGAGAATGTCATCTGCCAAGACCCATGAAGAGAGCCTTGCCTGTTGTGGTGTCCACCCTCATCATTCCCCTTGAGGTTAGACTTGCCCTGATCCTAATGGTGTTTTGTAAGGCTTTGAAGATCTGATTTGGCTACCGAGTCTGTGCCCCACATGTGTGGTTGAGCCAGTTTCATGGTTACATTGACTGCTGTGTTGGTTGGTTTTCCATCTCAGCTGCTGTATATGTTATTTATTGATTTGTTATGTTTTTATTTTTCTTTTAATATTTATTAGCTGTCCAGAGGCATATATTTGAGATGGGTGGCCTATAAATTGAATGAATGAATGAAATATTCAGCTAACACCTGGAAGAAAGACAAAGGCAACTTGGGTCAAGGAAAAAAGCACTGTGTCATCAGTGTAAAGAAGTGTGGAAATTAATCTATGGTTTGGCTGAGGAGGCTGAAAGATCAGATTCTCAGTTTAACAATAGCTATTGAATGATCCTCTCCCTGATTGGCCCCCTGTTTCTACCTCTGAGATTTTTAAGTTCATTACCCAATTTAAAAAATGGCAAAGCTGCTAGTGGTGATTTGATATGATCCTGGCAGAACTTTAAAAACTTACTTAGAATCAATTGATTATGTGCCATCAAGTCATTGTCAATTTGTAGTGACTACATAGATAGATTTTCTCCATGAAAATCTGTCTCTTACCTGGTCTTTCAGGCTTCCAATGTTGCATTCATTATTGCTGTAACTGAATCCATCCACCTTGCTGCTGGTCATTCTCTTCTTCTGTTTCCTTACACCTTTCCCAGCATTAGAGCCTTTTCCAGAGAGCTGGATCTTCATATAATGTATCCAAAGGAGGATAATTTGAGCCTGGTCATTTGTGCCTTGAGTGAGAACTCTGGGTTGATTTGTTCAATGATTCATTGGTTTGTTTTTCTGGCTGTCTACAGTATTCTCAGGAGTCTTCTCCAACACCAAAGATGAAAAGCATCAATGCTCTTCCTATTCTGCTTCAAAGTTCAACTTTCATTTCCATAGAGTGTCACAGGGAATACCATGGCTTGCATGATTCTGATCTTTGTAGGTATAGACAGATCACAACATTTGAATATCTTTTCCAAGCCTTCATGGCTGCTCTACCAAGTGCTAGTGTGTGGCATATTTCTTGACTTCTTGTTCCTTTACTTTTGATGGCTGATCCTAAAAGGCAGAAGCTACCCACCACTTTGATATCTTCAGTGTCAATTCTAAGGCTGGTTGTTCTACCTGTCGTCATTAGTTTGAACTTCTTTATTTTTGGTCCCATTTTTTTCACTGTGCTCCTTGACTTTTATTACTAGAGCTTGTGGATCCTTTACATTTTCATCTATCAGGGTAGTGTCATCAGCATAGCACAGGTTATTGACTTTGCTTCCCCCAGTTTTAAAACCACACCCATTTTCTTCTAATCCAGCTTCCCTTAACATATATTCAGCATAAAGGCTGCATAAATAAATGGAAAATATACAACCTTCTTGCACTCCTTTGCCAACCTTGTATCTCTTTTGCCATGTTCTGTCCATACTGTGGCTTCCTGACTGATATGTAAATTTCTCATGAGACAATGAGATGTTTTGGGATTCCCATTTTTTCCTGAGCACATTCTACAGCTTGATCGAAGCCTTTTTATAGTCAAAGAAGCACCTATTGACTTCTTTTTGGCAGTCTTTGGCTTTCTCAATTATCCAGCATGCTTTCTCAGCCTTTTCTAAAGCCAGCTTGAACAGATGGTCAGTATTTACCCACATAAATGAATCCATCCAGGGACTTAAAGAGTGCAAATGCTCCGTAAGTATCCCAATCTTTAAAAAGAGTGATAGGTGTAATCCAGATAATTATTGCCCAATTAGTTTATTAGGTATAATAAGCAAATTATATGCCAGACATCTTTATGTGAAGTTCATGGACTGGATCTTAGTTTTGAAACAATCTGGCTTCAGGTCAGGCTTTTCCATTTTTGACCAAGTAATTAAGGGATCCTTTATGGTGCCTTCATCAATTTGGAGGTAGCTTTCTCTTGTGAGCAGCAAGGGTAGAAACTAACCACTTCCTCTTCTGACTGTTGTTTACTGCTGTTAGTAATAATGCTGTCCCAAGGATCCCTTTACACTGGTGGTATCCTTACTCCTTTCCTATTTACCTTCTATGTTAACTGAATTGCTCAGGCTTTTTTTTTTTTCATTTCCCTGGTGAAACACAGGTTCAAAATGTTAAAAAAAAATTGAGAAAAAGGACAGGTGGATAGCACTTTAATTCAGCAGTGAGGAAGAGTCTACTGTGGGTCTAGGGGCCAGGCTACAGAAGGGAGAGGGATAGAGATATAACTACTTCCATGGATACCCTGAAGAAAACAATTATGCAGATATTTACACTGCTAGTTCCATAAATAAAATCTGCCTTCATGCAGTTTACATGGTACTCCTTCCTTTATGCTTCAAGGTACTGTATACAGTCCCCCATCTTGATGGAGCACCAGCTTTCAGGTGAAAAAGGAACCTTCTGGTGCACCAAAGAGTTCTGCCATTTGGTGCCTTCTATGTATATCAGATTACAACCCCTATTATCTCCTGCACATGGAACATATATATGCAGAACTCAGCCTATATAACTCTAGCCTTGTTTCCTTCCTAATGAGGCTCCCACAGACATGCAAATTTGGTGCATTCATATTCTCAGATGTGACTAAGACTATTCTCTGTAAGGTCATTTGACACTGATCCTGCTTTATTTATTTATTAAAATGGATCCTATGGTTTCATATTGACCTGACAGTAATTTAGCTGCTGGAGATTAAAACAAATGCAGTCTCATTGGCCTTAAGCTGTCTGCCTTCAACAATTATTGTGTGCTGTTAGTAAACCAGTTGGGATAAACAAGCTTTCACTCAGTGTCCTGTCCTGGTCATGTTGTCCAAAGTGTGTTGAAATGGCTCAGAACTAGCCTTTCTACCCTCTGTTCCCTCCTCAAAAGTTTCTCAGTGAGTTCAGGGGAACAGAAAGGCTCTTTGAACTAAGACTGCTTTGAAAACGCCTCCTAAGGAAGGGGGTGGGAAGGAGCGGTAAGCAAAGTGGCTTAATGGTTGTTTATTATGTGGGTGGCTGAGTGGGCACAGAGTCGCCAAAAGACGTCTGGCAGCTGACCTTGTGAGTTAATAACCATCTGCGTCTCCCTTGCAAAGATCAAAGCAGCCTCATCTGTCACCAGATGTCACACACAGTGATTTACTTTTTCCTGTCTAATGCCCTAACTGGTATTAAAGATTTATCATTTGGGGAGAGCGATTCATTCTATAGCTCTCTTTAGATAGATTAGCATTCCCCAGCCAGGTTTCCTCCAGATGCACTGAACTACAGCTCTATCATTAACCCCAGCCAACACATCCATAATGGCTAAAGATGATAGGAATTATAATCCAATAGTATGGAGAGGACTAAAGACAACTGCTATGTAATTACTTTCAGGGTGGAGAATGGGACCAGGGAGATCCAGATTTGTCAGCCATTGATGCTCCTTGGCCTGTCACTGTCACTGAGTCCAGACTAGTTTATACGGTTGTTCTTGGAGGGATATTGGAAGCAGGAACGCTATGTATGCTGTCTCAACTCTACTGAACACTACAAAAGTAGTAGTCATTCTCTGTTAATCTGGCAGAATGGAAAGAGACCTTGATTCCAAAATGACATATCCTTTATGGAAATTGGGCTTCATGGATTATAATTGGATTTTCCTTCATCTCTATCTTCAAATAAAGAAAGGGCAGAACTTCCTTCAGTGGGTGGAAAATGCATATGAAGGAGCCATCTTAGATATCTGGAGGTAGTTTGAAGACTGTTATTGAGAGCTGGAACAAAAAGGAGCAAGGAGGGCATCTAGGTGTCAAAGCCCAAATATTCCCTTCCTTCTTTCTCCCCATCTACTTCCTAATTTCAATCTAATTACATCTTAATTTAATTTTAATAAAATGGCTTTATTCCCATTGTGATACTGTTCCATATGCAGTAATGGCAGCATTACAAAGGCAATGAGACACCCAGTGCCAGGTTGAATAGCATACTGTTTATTTTTTTCTTAATAAGAATAAATAGGGATCAGCATATACTCACAGAAGAACAAGTAACACATTTCTCTTGAATGTACCATGAGCTGATATTGACTCCCCTGGACTATGGACTCCAGTATGAGGATCTCGGAGAAGAAGCAGCCTCTCTTCAGATTGTCAATCATAAAGAGGTCTGTGATAGAAACAATCTATGGCTGATATGTACCACACCCCAAACTATTTTTTGCAGCCCCAATCTCCCCAACAGCATGCCATCCACTTTCTGTGGATGACCTTTGCAAAACAACATCATTTTTGGTGCAGAAAAGCAAGTAGATGTGTAAGCTTTTATTTATGCTTGGCCACCTAATGTGAAGAGAGGACTCTTTGGAAAAGACCCTGATGCTGGGAA